TGCGGGAGCGGTGCAATATCTTGACCACTTCTGGTTGCCATCAAGTATGGACCCTGAGAGCTGCCATTGTTACGACTCAAAACGAAACCTTTCGAGTCAGACTTAGAGTAGGTTTTAGGACGGATTGCATATTGATTTAAATCGAGATGAAATTTCACTAGCTCAAACAATTTATTCTTTTTTATTATGAACGAATATTTGTATAGCGTGTTAGTCTCTGCTCACATTGTGGACTGTAACCATGGACAATCATGATCGAGCAGCTATAGAATTATAGTAGAAACTCGAATTGCACTGTGCAATGGTTATTTTTTAATGGTTGGTCACGCTGATCACGACATGTTCATTTCGTTTAACATTGCGAAGTGATTTGTTGAACAGTAGTAATATTAAACTAAAAAAAGCTATGAGACGACAACGCTTATCTGCAAAGTAATCTTACCCGTTGCTTATTGCTATCAGTTCCCAATTCACACCGGTTATGATGGCAAGTCCAAATTTCTTGAAATTAAATAGAGGAACGATGCGGAATAGAATAGTAGCTATTATTACTACAGCTGCACTGATACATCCCTGCAATGATTATGGACATTTAAGGGTGTCCCAGTGTTTGATAACGAATTTTGGAACTTATGTTTTTGTTGGTATTTAAGCTGCAAAAAAGAATGGGTTGGCCACTGCCATGCCCGAATTTCTCTCTTTTGAAAATGCTTCCACTTACCCCACATTAAGATATACCTGAAATGCAATACCTGTATATAAAAATGAGTGTTTTTCTTCATCTGTGAAATTCGCTGAGCTACACGCCTTCCTCCTGTCTTTTGTAAAACCTAAAATATGTAGATGGATATAGTTTGAGGTATTACGGCAAACTTCTTTTTCCAAAACAAAGACATACCTTCATTTGGCTACGTAAATAATAAAAGGTGATGGTGTTGATGAGGACGATGAGAGCACACATGATCAACGTGTGGAAATAATTTACATTCTGATTTATGATCCAAGCACATTTCGTATTACTTACGGTCCACGACATTATGTTT